TCAATGCACAGTAGACGGTGATGATTTATCGAGCTTCCAGAAGGCAATGACCATGTTATTCTTCTTTATGTTCCTCCTCATTCAAGTACCCAGTGCAGTGCCAGGTGCTTGGCGGGTCTGTGACCGCTTAACGTTCCACGGTCAGTGTGCTGGCATCAGCTGGCAAGGCCCCAAGCCCCTCCTCCTCCTCTTCCCCAGAGACTTGTCTAGAGCTAGGAGTTCTAGCTTGGGCCTCCCTGGCCCCAGGGGGCTGCCCCTGGGGCTGGACCACAGGGTTTCTGGAGCCAAGATTTGCCAGCTCCTCACTACACCTGCAAGAGGAAGCCCCTGGCACAGGAATGAGGTTGGGGTGGGGGCTGAGCCTTGGGTTGGACCAGGGCCCCAGCACCCACCTGAGATAGGCCTTTGCCTCCACCAGCTGCTCAGCGCTGAGCCGCCCCCCACCTGGCTCCCTCGGCCATGAGCTCACTTGAGATGATGCCAATGAAATCCCCAGGTGGAAATTCCATTAGCATCCTGCCCACCCTCTCCTCCCCCTAACCACTTAGTCAGCTCTGGAAACGCAAGGCCAAAAGAATTTCAGGGCCAAACTCCCAGGCCTTGAGGGCTGGCTCTCCCAACATAGTCATGAATGTCGCACATCTGTACAAACACGTCAGCTCACCACGCACTTCTACGTCACCATCTAGTTTCTGCCTCATCAGTCCTTGAACGTGGGGATGACTGCCCCTATTTTGCAGACAAAGAGACTACATTATTCAGCCGGGAAGGAGAGGAACCAGGTCTCAAATCCAGGTGTCTAAGCTCCAAATCCCTCCTTATGCCACTGTGACTCTACTTACCGTGTGGATGACAGCTAGAGCCGATGGTGCTGGACTATAACTACGTTTACCTGTCTGGCCTCCTGGGAGGAGGGACGGGGCCTGATTGATTTTTATGTCCTTGGAGCTAAGGAAGCACTGAAGCTGTCACAGAGCTGGTGCTGTACGAAGATAAACCAGGCATGCAGAATACTATTCTTTCACCAAACGATACCTCTCAACCTTTCCAGTGCCTCGACTATTAGCGGCTGTTCAGTCCCTCTGCAAGATCAGCAGGTTAGATAGCACTGTGTCTATCCTGCAGCTGCGTAGAGACCCAGAGAGGTTTGGTGATCTGTCCAGAGTCACACAGCCAGTGAAGACAGGGGCCGGACTCAGGATCCAGGTATGTTGACACCCAGTACCTGGCCTCTTCTGCAGCATTATCCCTGGTGCAGGTCGGCCCTGGAGGCCCAGCAGCCTTGCTCAAGGAGGATGACCTACAGAGAGATGGGCAAGGCTCCCAATGCTATTTTCTCCATGCAGCCTATCTTCTTCCTGAAGCTTGCCAAGTTCCCTTCCGTGTAAGGCAGCGTGTGTGGACTCCCAGGGAGGCAGTATGGGGCAGAGGAATGGGTTTGGCAGCCAGGTGGACCGGGCTCCAACCCGAGTGCCTCCCCTGCTAGGAGGCTTGCATGTGCCTTCACCCCTGAGTCTGAGCCTTCATCTGTAACATGCTTGGGAATTCTAGGATTGCTCCCAGCAGGTCACTGGGATGATTATACAAGGTAACATGAAAACTCAGCCTCAGGCCTGGCACGCATCGGTGCTCACTGCATGTGGGTTCCTGCCCCCAGTGACTGTGTTCAGGGGCCAGGAAAGAAAAAGGAGCTTTGACACCAGCCGATCTGAAAGCGAGGCAGTGGCAGAGTTTAGAGAAGAATCCAAAACGCATCCAAGGCTTGGATTCTCTCCTCATGCAGCATCCAGGGCCCTGTTGGGCTACTAGCACTGAGCAGAGTTGATCAGGGAATTGGGAAGGGGGTTTGGGAAGGCTGTCGGCGCCAAAGCAGGCTGAAGCAGTTGTGTCACATGGGGCAGAATGAGGACAGAATGAGAATCAGCGGCTAGGCCTGGGTGGGTGGGTCCCTGTCTTCCCCTCTCATCCCCCCAAGTTGAGCAGGTACCTTGCCCTGTCCAGGTCGGGCTCAGCAGGCCTCCTGGCCTGGAAAGCTGCAGAAGCCTTGTTCCTGGCCCCCTGCCTCCAACTGTCAGCCTTGCTGGGTGCCACAGTACAGTCCCAACAGAAGACTCGCCACCCCTCCCATTTCAAACCCATCCCACAAGGATAGCTTGCCACGCTGGAAGCCTATTTGCTTCTAGGGCCCCACATCTTTGCACAGGTTGTCCTCTGTGATGAAGATGACAGAGAGGTCCTTTTTTTCTTTGTCTACCACACAAATTCACCCATTCAAGTCAAAAGTCACCTTCTCTGTGAGGCCTTATCTGCCCGTCATCCAACAAAAGGTCCTCCTAAGCTCCTGGGGCCCCTGTCCAAGCAGGACACACTTTGTGGTCTGTGTCTGTCTTCAGATCATGTCCAGCTGGTCTCCTGTGTGGGGCCCGGCCATGGGAAAGGGGATAAAGCAGATGAGAGAAAGCTTCCTCCCGCTTGGAAAGGGCAACAATTGGCTCCAGCCTGCAGGGGACTTAGGGCCTGGCCAAGTGGTGAAATCAGGTTTAGGATCACAGTCAATGCTGTCTCTGCCTTCTGCTGTCAGTGCGACCCACCGATGTGAGGCAGACTACAGACCTCATCTCATTTTGTTAGCACACGTAATTCTTTACACTCTTTAACATTCACAACAGATCAGGGAGACAGGAGTTACTACCATTCACATTTGAAAGAGGAGGAGACTGTGAATCAGAGGTAAAGTTACCTGCCCAAGGCCACAGGGCTAAGAAGCAATGGAGTGGGGGTAAAATCTAGGTTCTTGACTAACCCTGCCTGCAGACCGGTCTCCCAGTCTCCAACACCACCCACAAGCCAGAGGAAGTTTCCTTAGAATTCCCAGTCCCACTCTATTATGCCTGCTTAAACCCTCCAGCAGCTCTCTACCACCTACAGGTTCAAATTCCAGCTCCTAAGCCTGGCATTCAAGGCCCTCATATTTGGCCCCTGCGTTCCCTCCCAGATGAAGTCCATTTCCCATCCCCCAAACACACACCTTGCACTTGATAGTCCACAACGCTGACCACCTCTGTCTGCGCTGTTATCAGAACACACAGAGACATGCAGGGGTGTTCCCTCAGTGGGAGACACTTCCTGCTTCCCAGACATATTCCCTGGCTTCCCCTGGCTGCTGAGGGCCAGCCTTCCCTCCAGGGCTGTAGGGGCGCCAGCCGCCCCCCTCCACTTCACCCCTCCCTAACTTCAAAGCCACCTCTCCCCCACCTCATTCAATATAGAGATTAGTGCCTGGGAACTGATCAAGTCAGAATGGAGCTGTGTGTTAAACATCTAAGTGTTTCCACGTTCTGGGGTCTCAACCAGTTAGCAACAACAGCAAGGGAGGGGAGGAGTTTTCAACACCTTCCTTTCCAGAAGGGAAACGGAGGCCCATCAGGGGAAAGGAAAGCGCCCACGGTTGCCTCCTTCCCGGGTGAGTGGCTCGTGGCCCTCCCTTACATCTGCAGCATCTGGTAAAATTCTAGGTTAAAGACTGGTGCAGGGTTGGGGGTGAGGGGGGCAGGGGAGTGAAAGTGTAAGGGCTCTCATCTTCGCCACTCAGCATCAAAGGCCCAGCAGACTCCCACCCCCGAGTCCTCCCTCACTGTCAGAACCTAGGCTCCGCAAGTCTGGACTTCTCTGAAGGGTAGAGCAGGCAGGGAGGAAGGATGGGAGAGTTCTTGAGTCACCTCCTCGCCCGGGCCAGGTGTGGGCGGCGGGCTCTCAGGCGGGTTCCCCGCAGCGCAGGTAATCCCCACCGCCAGCTCCGCGCAGGGAGGGAATTCTCGCCCCCCTCGCAACAGGGTGACCGCGACCCGAGGAGCCGAGCAACTCGCCCAGAGCAGGACTGTGGGCCCGTGGCCGTCCCATCGGCAACCAGCTGTGCCGGGTTCCTGCTCCCTGCAGGCCAGCTGAGGGTCCTGGAGCCTCCTCACCTACTCACCTCACCTACAGGATCGGAGGGCTGGTCCCCCCCACCCCCACCCCCCGGGGGCGGGACGCCAGCGGAGAGCGGATCTCAAAGCGGAGCCGGGGGCTGGGGCCGGCCTCTCCGCCAAGCAGACACGTCTCTCTCGGTCACATACATTCGCTCCGAGAAGCTCGGGGCGGGCAAACCCCGCGGCCGTCTCCTTTCCTGTCTCCAGCCCCCCGCTGGGGCCCAGGACCGACCGCTTCCCTCTCCTGTCCGGGCTGGTTCGGCGGGGGGTCCGGCACGCTCCTCCCAGTCCTGGGCCAGTCCGCTAGCGCGGCTGACCTCCTCCCCCCATCCTATCCTATCCCCTCGCGGCACTAAGGACCCCAGGAGATGAAGGAGGGGAGGGCTGCCAGCGCCCCTGCCCGGGCTGCAGCGGGAGGGGGACGGGGGCTGTTGCCCGAGGAACCAGGAGAAAAGTTTGAAGTCAAGTCGGGGGCCCCGGTGGACAGCAGGGGAGCGAGGAGTTGGGGCGGTGTCTGGCTCCAGGCGCGCATACACTACACGGACACCCAACCCAGACACGTCGACAGGCACGGACCACGTACGCGGACACACAACGATGCGCCCACCCACACCCACAACCAAACGCTGGCCCAGAGAACGTGGACACAAGCACCAAACAGCCACCAAAGCCACAGACACACAAAGGCGCAGGCAGATGCACGTCCCCGGATCCAAATCCACAAAGACCCACAAACGCGTGATGCACGTGTCCGCACAAAGACCCCAGAGGCGCCGGCCCCAGGCCAGAGCCTTTGTCTCTTGGAAGCCCTCTCCCCTTAGTTAGGGCTCCCTACCCGGGCCGAGGCCGGGGCGTCCGGCAGCGGCTGCCGACGCCCTGGGTCCAGGAAAAGTTGAGGGGCCCTGGGCCCGCCCCCAGAGTCCAGCGCCGCCCGCCCGCCCGCCCGCCGGATGGGGCGGCTAGGTTGGGATCGGAGGCTCTGGATCTTCTCCCGCAGCGCAGACTCCCGCTCCACCCGGGACCCGCACCCACCTGGAAGCCTGCGCCGCAGCCGCCTCGGCGCGCTCACCCAGGCGGCCCGGCCGCGGGCCCTCCGGCCGGCGCTTTTCTCCGCGCCGCGCGGCCCGCCCCCCCGCCCCCGCCCCCCGCCGCGGGGAGCCCCCCCCCCCACGCGGGCCCCGCCTGCCAGGCGCCCAGTGGCGGCTCCGGCCCTCAGCTTGGCGACCTAGGGAGTGTCGCCAAAGTGCCGGCTTTCCCGGCGCGCGCCCGCCCCTCCCCCTGCCCGCCTGCCGAGCCCGAGCCGAGCCTGGGTTCCACCCTAGGGAGCGTCTCAAAAGTGCGCACGCAGCTCCCGCCCACTCCAGTAGGCCTCGCTCCCAGCTTCCTGCAACCCGGATCCCTGCCCCCTCCCCCGGAGCGCCTGAGCAACCTCAGCAGATGGCCGCCCGGTCGGGAACATCTGGAGGTCGCACGAGTGTGTTGTGTGTGTGTGTGTGTGTGTGTGTGTAAGAAAGAGGGGGGGATGTTGGTAAGAAAGAGATTGGGCGGGTGAGGGTCCCCTCTTCTCGAGTTCAACCCACCCGGTTTTTGTTTTTTTTTTAATGAGTGAAAAAGAGGTCCAGAGACGTTAGTGAGAAGTGCATCAGGAATCCGAAACGGAAAGACTGGCTGAAGGGCACACCTACAGAGAGGAGAGAGACAGGCTCGGGCAGAAAACCTGGGAAGAGAGAAGAAAAGCTGTAGACTTATTTTTCTGAAGGGAGCCAACCGTGGACTGCTGGTTGGATTTCTAAGAAGGGAAACTGCGTGTGTGACTGGGCACCGGTTTATCCCTCCCTCTGCAGTCCATCCTCTCTTCACCCCTCTTTCAGGTTGTAAGGACAAGAAGACATAAAAAAAAGAAAAACTTTAAAAAATGGGGATTTGTGTGCAGGGTGAGTTTGAGTCTCCCAGTCTATACACCTAGACTAGGGTGGGGGAAGTTACTAGGCACCCCAGAGGTATCTGGCCCAGGGGCGGAGAGAGGTTTTGGTCTTGACCCCAGACCTCCCAGGAACTTTCTGTTGTGGAGAGGGCGCCTGGGTGCCGGGATTGGGCAATGTTTCCCCCTGCAGTGGCCCAGACTTGCACTCTCAGCCTCTCTTTGCTCCTTATTTATTACTCTTTTTTTTTAATTACAAAAAGTTGCTCGGGCTTGTGTGTATATGTCTGCCTGTCTGCCTGGGGAAGGAGGGAGGCACGTAGAGAGAGAGGAGGCTGCTACCCCAGGCCCCAGGGCAGCAAAATTGAATCTGCTGCACAGGGAACAGAGTGCTCCTGCAAGTCCTCCCGGGACCCAGTCACTGTGTGGTCCTGAAGGCGCCGCTCACCTGGCCTGAGACCCCCCCAGTTCCTGCTGGTTAGGGGGGTGAAGGCTGGGAGCCTCATCTTGTCGGTGCAGGACAGGAAGAGCCCGCCTGTCTCCTCTGCCCATTGTCCTCCCCGAGTTAGAAACCGAGTGGCCAGAACTGGAGGCCAGAGGGGCCAACCAGCCCTTCGCATCAATATTTGAAATTATACCATAGGCTCCTTTGCATCCAGTCACCTCCTCGCGGTGGAGCTTATAAGAGATGGGCCACTAAGATTCAACTCTGCAACCGCTAATCATTCTCTGCTCATCGCAGTGCCCTCAGGAGGAGTCAGACCCTCCCGCAGCCCGCTCCCTGCCTGGGGGAGGAGACCCCAAAAAAGCATTTGGTGAGGGCCCTGAGCTTGGACTGGGTTTCGGCTTCAGCCCAAGCTACCCGGCTTTGGGTAATCTTAGGCAAGTCACCTAACCTCTCTGAGGTTCTGGGGCTGTAATGTAAAAGAGGCTTTTGTGAGAAGTAAACAAGGCAACTTAGTAAAACATTAGTTGGCCTAACAGGAAGCGCCATCCTGTATTGTTAATTGCCATTATTGTTATACCTAGAAGTCTCCCATCAGGGATGGTGTAGAGTCTGGAAAGCCAAGCAGGCTTGGGAGGAGAGGGCACCGGGGCATGGTCACCTGACTCTCTGGCCCACCCCCTTCCCTGTGGGGGAGGGGGCTTTCTTTTGGTGGAATGCCCCTTTGCCCTGGCCTGGAGACTCACGGCCCTTGATGTGGAGTTAAGCAGTGAGACTGGCTGAACGTTTGAACAATGGAGATTAATAATCAACTTCCAGGGAATGCAGGGGGTGAGAGAAGGGGGATGCTAACTCCCATCGCCCTTTGTATGCAGGGTATAGCCTGCTGGGCTGGAGACTCCAGGCTCCCCCAGAGGGCTTTTGACTTAACAGACACGTGATGAACAGCTCTTCACACCTTGGTGGGTGGCTGGAGGCAGCTTCCAGGCATTCATGCATTCGTTTCCCTGATCTTCCCTAACTGGGGCTTTGGAGAGGGAATGTCCGGCAGCAGCCCTACCCACCTCCCTTGCCTGCTGTCTATTCTGCAGCAAAAATAGCCTTCCTAAACTGCAGATCCGCAAAACTGATCATGACATTTGTGTGCTTACAATCTCTTTCCAAGGCCAAAAGCCAAACTCCTTGGCTTGGCATTCAAGGCCCATGAGATACGCACCCATCTTACTCCTACCTCTTCAGCCTTCCTTCTAATCACTCCCTCTTACACACTTAAAGCTCTAGCCCTCAGGGCGCCTGGATGGCTCAGTCGGTTAAGTGTCAGGCCTCAGCTCAGGTCAGGATCTTGTGGTTTGTGGGTTCGGGGCGTCGGGCTCTGTGCTGACAGCTCGGAGCCTGGAGCCTGCTTCGGGTTCTGTGTCTCCCTCTCTCTCTGCCCCTCCCCTGTCGTGCTCGCTCTGCCTTTCAGAGGTGAATAAATGTTAAAAAAAAAAAAAAATTAAAGGTCTAGTCACATGGATCCAGGGGAGGGAAGTACCTCTACATTCTTCAAGTCTCTGTCCAGATTCCCCTTCCCCAGAAACTCTCTGCCTGGTGAAGTAGGTCCTTTTCTTTCTGTTATGTTGCCACTCCCTTTATACATACACACTCTCACTTTCCTGTTCTCTTCACCCTTCTGGGGTCGTCCTGGCCATTATCACATACTAGGGACTGCACTAGATACTTGAAGGGTCATTGCATCACTGAATCCCTTTAACAACCACCCAGATTGATAGTGGTTGAGGCAAGAGATCTGTCCGAGGTCACCCAGCCTGTTTTCTGCAGAACTGGAACACACAGTTAGGGTTCTGGTGTTCCTTGGACTCCCTTACAATCCACGCAAAACGCAGAACGTGGTATAGCAAGAGTCCCAGATGCAAACTGTTGCAACATCCTTGGCTACCTATGGGCTCGGGGCTAGTCCCTTTCTTCCCCTGAGGCCCGGTTTCTTACCCGTAAAATGGAAGTAAATAAGAAGCCCTACCTCACAGGGATGTAGGGAGGCTCAAGTGAATTAACAGGGATGCAGAAATGTTGTAGGCTCTAGGGTGCTGTGTGCCTGTAATTGACTAAGGACCAGCCGTACTATAAAGGAGGGTGATTGGTTGAAGATTTCTTTTCTCTCAGAACGCTCCAGACTGGAGGTCAAAGGCACCAGTAGTCCCTTTGGTTGCCTTGCTCATAGCCCATGTTTTGAGAAAGCTTTCTCTCCCTTATCATGGATGTCAAGGCCTCACCAGGAAAAAAAAAAAAAAAAAAAAAAAAAAAAAACAAAAGTCAATGTATTTCCACGAAACTCCCNAAACCCAAAAGTCAATGTATTTCCACGAAACTCCCGGATCTCGAACTATTTTTCTTGCTGCGTTTTCTTCTTTTCAGCTGTCAGAAGCTGGCAGGTGCAAAGTTAATAGAACATTAGGACCACGTGAGGAAATAATTGACAAGAAGAGCTGGAAGAAAAAGAATGCCTTTCCTAGCCCCCCTCTGATTCCGTAGAGCTGAGTGGGCTTGTGGGATGCTGTGTTTTTTAAAAGCTTGTGGAGTGATTCTGATGTCAGTTTGGGGACTACAGGTCATGGCAGAACTTCCTTAGAGTTTGCAGAGTCCTTCCTTCCACATTCTCGTGTTTAAACCTCTGAGCAAACTTCTTAGGTAGTCTCTTATGTCCATTTTACAGATGTGGAAACTGAGATTCAGAAGTGACACATCCAGGGGCACGTGGAATTTAAAACCGGCCCTGAGCTAACTCTAGCCATTCCTTTACAGGGCGGAATTGTGTACGCGGGCTTTGCTGGTGCCTCAGCAGTCATTTTGTGATGAACACCCTTCTCCTCCTGCTAAATCAAATGCTTCCCTAAATATTTCTCTCCCACTCTCCCACCTCCATGCGTTTTCCCCTGCCTGGAATGACTTTCTCAGCTCAGTCTGCCAGCCGCAGTTCTCGAGGTCTTCCAAGCCCTGCTGCCTCCTCCACAAAGACATTTTCATTCCCCTCAGTTTCTCTTCCTCTGAGCCTGGAAGCACTTGGTTTGTGCTTCTGTGCCGGCCCCTCACCAGCCCTGTCTGCTGCTTCGACTGGATGCCCCAACCCCCCCAGCTGTTGGGGACCCCTGCAGATTCCGGCAGCTCCTCACTGCCTCCGTGTCTTTGTTTCTGCTGTCCCCCCGCCCCTCCAGAAGTGGCCCTTAGTCCACACCATCTCTTACTGAGAATTCAGCTTAACTATCACCTTCTCCGGGAAACCTCACCTGACTTTGCCAATGCTTTATTTTACCCCTGCGGGCGTTTCCTCTGTGGTCTCACGATATAGTGAAGATATCTCTATCATGAACAAGGTGGTTCATTCATTCACGTACTCACTATAGCAAGGTGCAAACTTGAGGACCAAACTGCTGAGGTATGAATTCCAGCTTCACAGTAGGCAAGTTCTTAAACTTTTCTCTATGCCTTACTTTTTTTTTTTTAAGATGTTTGTTTTAAGTAATCTCTACACCCAACATGGGGCTCAAACCTACAACCCCAAGATCAAGAGTAGCATGTTTCAGGCACCTGGGTGGCTCTGTTGGTTAAGCTTCTGACTTCAGCTCAGGTCATGATCTCTTGGTACGTGAGTTCGAGCCCTGCATTGGGCTCAAGGCTGACAGCTCGGAGCCTGGATCTTGCTTCGGATTCTGTGTCATCCTTTCTCTC